TTAAACCACCCTAAGCTGGCTCAAAAGGCTCAAACACCAGGCTCAAACCAGGCTCAAGCCTGTCTCGGCCGAGGGGTGAGTGGTGTTGTGGATATCATGTGTTCCGCCAGTTCTCGCCGGAAACCAGACGTTTGTTGCAATTACCTATGTAGCGGTGTAGCAAAGCTTTGCGTTAAATTTGCGATGTGCTTGTGCCCGAGGCCAACGGCATGCGTGCGCAGGACCCGGGGTTCTGCAGCCGCTGCTTGAGCTGCTGCTGCTTGAGCCGATTAATCGGTGTGGTCTCACGGTCATGGCCGCAGGATCTCGTATCGTGGCCGGCGCAGATGTGCTGTGCGTCCTTCCCGGCGACGGTCTGCGACAAGGATCTCACGCCCCAAACACCCTGCTTGCACGACGAGGACGGGCGAAACAGAGCAGTAGCGACGCATAGCGAAGCGTCGACGTTTTGCCAGGGCGGAAGATTCCCAGCCGGCCAGGACTTCGAGCACAACAAGACGACGTGGGCCTGGTGCGACACTTATCAGGCGGCTCCCTCCGTTGACGAGTGCAACTCCAACGGCTGCTCGGGCGACGAGTGGCACTGCCACTGCGAAACCAAAGAGGGCTGCCTTGCAGTAGGCCGGGTGGGCACTGCAGGCCCATTACGGCGCGTTGAGCTCGCCTGAAAGCCCAATGACATCTTGGAGTCCCGTGAGGTGGTCGTTGGGATGAGTACCAGTGCTGGCGAGATCTGCAGCACATGTCTTCGGAAGTGCACAAGGCCAGGCTTTCCCACTGCCATCCAGCCTCTTGCGGTGGCAACGGTGGTTTCATGCCCGCGACATGGCAAGCTGAACCTGCAAAGGCCATTTCGATGGCCAAGAGCCAGCACTCCTGCCGCTTGGCTGAGTGCAGCATTCATGGAACCAGCAGCATTCTGTACGGTTGCGAAGTGCGAAGCGCTTGCAGTCTCAAGCACAGCACACTTAGAGGTGACGACATCGAAGTTTGGCACAGCCCGCTCGAGTACTCGGTGGACTGGATGGGCCGGGGCACCTGTTGCAGGTCCCGTGTATGCGAAGAGTCGCGGACGGACTGACTTGAGGTTCCAGTTGCTGCTCCTCCGGGAAATCGCTTTGCCAGGCCTGAGCTGTTCGTCCCAAGGCCTTTGATTCTCGAAGTCGCAGGAGCTCGGAGGTGGCGGTGGCCACAGTCACCACCATCATCACTCGGCTGCTGGTCGATGAGGGCACCAAGACTTTGGAGTCCAAGGGGAGCTGCGTTGACGCAGACGCTATCCGATTAGGGCTGGTTCAGTGACGCGCCCTGGAAAAGTCCTCTGCTGCCACAATGGGCTGAGTTCTGCAGGGGTTGTGTATCTGCTGCGCCGCATTGTTGCGAGTTTCGGAAGAAACGCATGTTCTGGATCGGATGGGATGCGCGCATCAGATCGGTAGAGAACTGGGAACGAAGGAGGTGGAAGAGTGGTGCCCAGAAGGATTGTATAGCTATACTCACAAAACCGTGGGAAAGTTCTCACAGCATCTGAGCAGGCCCCGAAGTCCAACCTCTACGCAGAGCTTGAGGGCGAACAGGCACAAAGGGTAGAATATCGCTGGAGCTGAACTTCTTGTTGTTCTTAGCAGCGTTTCTTTCTTCATATTCCGATAGCTTCTGCACTACCCCTTGTCCTCGAGCGACGACGATGACGACGACGACGACCACTACTCCTCCTCCTCCTACTACTACTACTACTGCTGCTGCTGCTGCTACTACTACTACTACTGCCACAGCAGCAACAACAACTACTACTACGACCAGTGCCAGTACCGGTACCACTGCCAGTGGAAGTGCGAGTATGTTGGTCCGGGTCAAACCTAAATGATGCGTCACTTTGCCCCCACGTTACGGCTACTACTCGTACTATTATTTCTACTTTAACTACTTTAACTACTTTAACTACTATAACTACTACTTGCTAGTACTTACTACTACTACTACTACTACTACTACTACTCCTACTACTCCTACTACTCCTACTACTCCTACTACTACTACAACAACAACAACTACTACTACTACTACTACTACTACTGCTACTGCTACTGCTACTGC